GCGCGGGCGCGCGTCAAGCACGAGAGAAGCGGCGTGAGAACGTCAGATGGCAAATCAGGGCTCTCAGCGACTGCCGTTAGCGCCGCCCAACTGAGCAGCATGTTCTGCGGGTCGAGTAGGCCACTCAGCGTCACAACCGCCTTGTTCGCGCCAGGGCCATTGCTCGCGATGGTCGATAGCAGCAGCTTGGGGGCAGGGCGGCCGTTGAGCGCGCGCAACAGCTTTGTGTCACGTAGCAAAGCTGCTGCACGGTCAAGCTCGCTGGATGCAACGCCTGCATCCCGTGCGGCGGCGAGGGCAGCCTCGATCTTTGCAGGGTCGGGTCGGGAGGAGAAGAATGAGGGCTTCTGGCTGCTGAGCAGGGACTGCCAGGCGAGGGCGAGCGGAGCGTGCTCAGAGTTCCTCTTGAGCGCGTCGAGAAGAACGGTAGGAATCGACTGGGCTGACAGGTCGACGATGAAGCGGAGTGCGTCAACCTTGCCCCTTACTGCGGCGATGCGCGCTGGACTACTGCCGTCCGATGCCGTCAGCAGCTCTGGCCCGCATTGCTCGGCGAGATAGCGGAGAGCGTCGACGTGGCCACCGAGAGCAGCTCTGTGCACCGGGGTCCAGCCACCCGCGTTCGTAGCTGTCAGCACCTCGCTGCCGCACTGCTCGGAGAGGAAGCGGAGTACGTCGACATGGCCACTGTCAGCGGCGGCGTGCGCTGGCGTGTCGCCATCCTTGATCGCAGCCGTCAGCACCTCGCTGCCGCACTGCTCGGCGAGGAAGCGAAGCACGTCGACATGGCCATGCGCAGCGGCCCTGTGCGCTGGCGTGTAGCCGTTCGCATTCGCAGCCGTCAGCGCCTCGCTGCCGCACTGCTCGGCGAGAAGGCGGAGCACGTCGACCTGGCCATTGACAGCGGCGGCGTATGCGGGCGTCCAACCGTCCTCATCAGCAGCCGTCAGCACCTCGCTGCCGCACTCCTCCACAAGGAAGCGGAGCGCGTCAACGTGGCCGTTCGCAGCGGCGGAGTGTACTGGCGTGCGCCCGTCCTTGATCGCAGCCGTCAGCACCTCTCCGCCGCACTGCTCGAAGAGATAGCGGAGCGTGTCGACATGGCCTCTGCGAGCGGCGGCGTATGCGGGCGTCCAACCGTCCTCATCAGCAGCCGTCAGCACCTCGCTGCCGCACTGCTCGAAGAGATAGCGGAGCGTGTCGACATGGCCTCTGCGAGCGGCGGCGTATGCGGGCGTCCAACCGTCCTCATCAGCAGCCGTCAGCACCTCGCTGCCGCACTCCTCCACAAGGAAGCGGAGCGCGTCAACGTGGCCGTTCGCAGCGGCGGAGTGTGCTGGCGTGCGCCCGTCCTTGATCGCAGCCGTCAGCACCTCTCCGCCGCACTGCTCGAAGAGATAGCGGAGCGTGTCGACATGGCCGCCGAGAGCGGCGGCGTATGCGGGCGTCCAACCGTCCTCATCAGCAGCCATCAGCAGCTCTGGCCCGCATTGCTCGGCGAGATAGCGGAGCGCGTCGACATGGCCGTTCGCAGCGGCGGCGTGAGCCGGTGTGCTGCCATTCGCCCTGGCAACCGTCAGCACCTCGCTGCCGCACTGCTCGACAATAAAGCGAAGTGCGTCGACGTGGCCCTCCTGCGCAGCGTCGTGCGCCGGCCTGAAGCCGTTCGCACTTGCTGCCGCAAGCACCTCAGGGCCGCACTGCTCGGAGAGGAAGCGGAGCACGTCGACATGGCCGGCAAGAGCGGCGGCATTCGCGAGCATGTTGCCACCCGCCGTCGCAGCCGTCAGCACCTCGCTGCCGCACTCCTCCACAACGAAGCGGAGCGCGTCAACGTGGCCGTTCGCAGCGGCGAAGTGAGCTGGCGTGAGCCCGTCCTTGATCGCAGCCGTCAGCACCTCGCTGCCGCACTGCTCCACAACGAAACGGAGCGTGTCGACATGGCCGCCGAGAGCGGCGGCGTACGCGGGCATCCAACCGTCCTCATCAGCAGCCGTCAGTACCTCGCTGCCGCACTGCTCCACAACGAAACGGAGCGTGTCGACATGGCCCTCGAGAGCGGCGGCGTATGCGGGCGTCCAACCGCCCTCATCAGCAGCCGTCAGCACCTCGCTGCCGCACTCCTCCACAAGGAAGCGGAGCACGTCAACGTGGCCGTTCGCAGCGGCGGAGTGTGCTGGCGTGCGCCCGTCCTTGATCGCAGCCGTCAGTACCTCGCTGCCGCACTGCTCGGAGAGGAAGCGGAGCACGTCGACATGGCCGTCGAGAGCGGCGATGTGTGCTGGCGTCGCACTGTCCGCCCTCGCAGCCGTCAGCAGCTCTGGCCCGCATTGCTCGGCGAGATAGCGGAGCGCGTCGACATGGCCGTTCGCAGCGGCGGCGTGAGCCGGTGTGCTGCCATTCGCCCTGGCAACCGTCAGCACCTCGCTGCCGCACTGCTCGACAATAAAGCGAAGTGCGTCGACGTGGCCCTCCTGCGCAGCGTCGTGCGCCGGCCTGAAGCCGTTCGCACTTGCTGCCACAAGCACCTCAGGGCCGCACTGCTCGGAGAGGAAGCGGAGCACGTCGACATGGCCGGCAAGAGCGGCGGCATTCGCGAGCATGTTGCCACCCGCCGTCGCAGCCGTCAGCACCTCGCTGCCGCACTCCTCCACAACGAAGCGGAGCGCGTCGACGTGGCCGTTCGCAGCGGCGAAGTGAGCTGGCGTGCGCCCGTCCTTGATCGCAGCCGTCAGTACCTCGCTGCCGCACTGCTCGAAGAGATAGCGGAGCGTGTCGACATGGCCGTCGAGAGCGGCGATGTGTGCTGGCGTCACACTGTCCGCATCCGCAGCCGTCAGCACCTCTGGCCCGCACTGCTCGAAGAGATAGCGGAGCGCGTCAGTGTTGCCTCTGCGAGCGGCGGCGTGAGCTGGCGTCAAATTGTCCGCCCTCGCAGCCGTCAGCACCTCACTGCCGCACTGCTCGGAGAGAAAGCGGAGCACGTCGGCGTGGCCAGCAAAAGCGGCGGTGTGAGCTGGCGTGCTGCCATTCGGTCTCGCAGCCGTTAGTAGCTCAAGGCCGCACTGATCGGCGAGATAGCGGAGCGCCTCAATATGGCCACCGAGAGCGGCGGTCTGCACTGGGGTCCAGCCAGCCACGTCCGCAGCGCTCAGCGCCTCGCTGCCGCACTGCTCTGCGAGGAAGCGGAGCGTGTCGACATGGCCGTTGAGTGCGGCGGCGTGAGCTGGCGTGCTGCCGCCCGCAACAGCAGCCGTCAGCAACTCGCTGCCATACCGCTCAACGAGGAAGCGGAGCGCGTCGACATGGCCACCAAGGGCGGCGTGCGCTGGCATGCCGCCGTCCGCTTTCGCGGCCGTCAGCACCTCGCTGCCGCACTGCTCGGAGAGGAAGCGGAGCGCGTCGACGTAACCGCCGAGGGCGGCGGCGTACGCGGGCGTCACACCGTCCGCCATCGCAATCGTCAGCAGCTCTGGCCCGCACTGCTCACAGAGGAAGCGGAGCACGCCGACGTGGCCGTTCGCAGCGGCGGCGTGTGCTGGCGAGCTGCCGTCCGCCGCCGCAGCCGTCAACACCTCTGGGCCGCACTGCTCAACAAGTAAGCGGAGCACGTCGAGTCGGCCGTTTGCAGCGGCGGCGTGTGCCGGTGTGCTGCCGTCTGCCGAAGCTGCCATCAGCACCTTGCTGCCGCACTGTTCAGCGAGCGAGCGCAGTGCATCGACATCGCCGTCAATAGCTGCTGTCGTCACGCGCTCCGTTTGCTCAGGATCTTCCATTCAACCGACCAGCTCGTTGAGCACGGAAAGGACTACACAGCGTCTCCCTCGGCTCGATGCAAAGCTCCTCGCGCTCACCTTTGTTCTCCGGTCCAATGTTGCGGACGCGACCTGGTTGGCGGGAGTCGTCGCGAACCCGGTGAGCTCGGAGAGGATGGCGCCGTCGCTCGGGCTGCTAATGTGCGACGCCATCGCCGACCTGCTGGAGTGGGGGCGACGGGCCCTACCGGAACTGGCGTCGACAGATGACGGCATTCTCGAGCCGTTAGTGGAGCATCGGCTGTGGAAGGCGAACTGCGGCCTCATGTGCTTATCACAGTAGCCCCGGGACGGGGGGGGGTCGGGCCTCACCCGGGGCTCACCGGGGCCCGGCCGTCCCCGCCCCCTCCCTCACCTGCCCCACCCCGGGGCCTCACTCGCGATGCGCCGTCCCGGGGGGGTGCTCGCTGCCCGACCCAGCCAGGGGCACCACGGGCGGGCCACGCGCACGCGGCCCCGTACGCCTACCGCGCGCCCCCGGCCCGCGCCACGCCGCGGCACCACCCGCACACCGCCGAGGCGAGGGAGAGCGGCCTGTGCGGCACCACCGCTCACACAGAACAATACTACAAATCAACTAAACGGGTGAGACCCCACTCTACTCTGCACAGACAGTCCGCACTGCTCCAAACGCACAAAGTCTCTAACTACTAACATCTACCGAGGCGGACGCAAAAAAGCGCGCCTCGGCGAGACGGATCGCATCACTTTGCCTGGGCCTGGAATCGCCGCACGCCAGCCTGGACAGAGGCTCGCGAGAGGCCCTCCTTGTCGCCGTCCTCATAGGTGACCTGCTGGTAACATCCCGTCTCCGGGTCGTAAGAGACGATATCTCCGACGAAGGTGCCATGGCCGCCAAAGGTCTTCATCATCCGCTTGCCCACCAGGTCGGTCCGCTGCACCTTGCGTGGTGGGGAGCTGAGAGCTGAGGGCGGGTCGGGTGCCCGGGGGGCGGGGTGGCGGGGGTGGGGGGGCACCCGGGGCGCCTCACTCTGAGGAGCTCCGCCCCGCCCCTGCCCCTCACTGCCCCGGGGGTGGGGCCTCACCCGCAGCCGGCGCGTCCCGGGGTGGGGTCTCGGGGTGAGTCCCGGGTGAGGCCCGCCCCGCCCCCGTCCCGGGGCTACTGTGATCCGCACATACACGGACGGGACCGACGCGGCCATCTTCGCTCAGATCCGGGCCTTGATGGCCGACCTGGAGAGGGCCTGCGACCGAGAAGCTGCACCAAAGATCCCGGCGCCGGCGAGCGAGGCGACCGTGACATTGAGCCTCGCCCACGAGGTCGGTCGCCGCCACTTCGCGCGACGCGTTTGCCGCCGCCTTCCGGCGAGACGTGGCGGTGTCACTTGACGTGAACGAGGATGCGGTCTTCGTCCTCACTATCTCGGCCGACTCCACCGTCGTCGACTTCAGCGTGCCTGGCGCCGGAGACGTGGCGGGCATACTACGCGGGAACGGCCTTTCAACGACGCACCTGACCCACTTTAACGGCGGCGCTACCGTCGACGCCGAGGTTGGCGACAAGACGTGCCCACTCCTGTGGCAGGCGGCAGACTCCGCGGAGACGCGCTCATGGGAACGGCGGTTGGCTGAGGCGTTCCAACCCGAGGGGATGGTGCAGGAGGAGGAGGGCCGCGACGTTCTCGCCGTTCCTGCTGTTGTCGCCGCGTCTCGTGGCGGTCGGGTGGCTCCAGATCAAGTTGGCGGCGGCGGCCGTCGACGACGAGGAGACAGCGGTGCGCTTGGGACGGGCGTACGGCGATATCCTGGGGCGGGCTCGGGCGGAGGCAGAGCAGCGCGGCCGAGCAGAGGATCACGGCAGGTGGACGGACGCAACGCTCGAGGTGATATCGGGTGGCCTGCACATGTTCTTCCATAGGGCGCAAGTCTTTGCCGGCCGTCCAGATGGGGTCGGCCCGGCCTTCTGGCGGGAGTTTGTTGATGCGGCGCGAGTGAGAGGGGGGGAGTGGGCTCCGCTGCAGCTCCTCTCGGAGACACAGACGAGTGCGGGCGCCCGACTCGCGGCGATGCCTTGGCTGATGTGGAACCGGCGGCCGGTTGCAGGGGCGACCAGCGGTGACACGCCAGCCCGGCCGATGGAGGAGCCTGGGGCGGAAGCTCTGAGCGCCCAGGCGGAGGCCGACCTCGTTAACCACCGTGCGGCGGAGGTGCGGCGCGCAGCGGCGAGCAAGTGGCGGGTGAGACAGAGGGAGACGGATATCTGGCGGTGGCAGGCGATCTGGCTGGAGATGGAGACTGCTCGAGCCAGAGTGCAGCAGATCGCGCGGATCGTTGCGAGGGGGCAGTGGCGAGGGCGGTACCCGGAGGTGCTCATCGTGGAGAACGCGACGCAGCTGATGGATCTGCTCTACAGGTCCGGGCTTCGGTTTCGCAACAGCTTCGTTTTCACAACACGGCCGCCTCGAGACGCCGCGCCGTCGTGCAATTCGTGCCCGAGCCGTCCACAAGGCCGCCGGCACATTTGCCAATGTGCCCGGAGCGCAGGGAGTCGATGGGTGCCGCAGTGCGAGCGAGCACTGCAGCTGCAGTGCTCGCTCGCACTGGCCACTGCGGCGCTGCGCCACGGCGGCGAAGCATGTCTGGACTTCAAGGACAGCGCTTCTCCGCTGCTCGAGGCTTGCGGCACGGTCCAGGCCGACCACACAGAGCACCCGAGGCAGCTGGCGTGGCCTCACTCATGACCTGTGCTACCCGTCGGCGGGGCCAGCTGCGGTTTCACAACGCGCCTCATTTTTGGCACCCTCCTGCTAGCCGCGCATGAGTAGGGAGACCGTGTGTGGTGTCTTCGCGGCCTAGAGCACCCTCTTGGCAGTCTATATTCCGGATTTTAGCCCTCCTGTCGCATCTGGTGAGCCGTACCATAGCGAGGACCAAACGCGTTGTGAAACCAAAGCACGGACCTGTACAACCAGCTGGAGGCACAGCCTCCGGGGGACCGCTGCTGGGGAGGTACTCTAGGTCTAGCACACACACGGAAGAAAGAAACCAGGGGCGCGGGTTTCTTTTGTGACTCCTAGTGTCGTGACTCGTAGATTTCTTTTGGCACCAGCAGGTTGTGAATGAGCTTGTAGCCTGCGGCGAGGGCGGTCAGTGCACGGAGCTAAGTGCCTCGCCGTCCTCGCAGGAGTCGCTTATAGTGTAAAACTCCCTCTGACACTAGCACGGGACTGGCGCGCACTGGCACTAACACAGGTACACCACGGGAGCCGCGCCTAGCGACTCCTGCGACCAGAGAGCGTACTCGTAAAAGTCTTTTATAGATAAATAATTAGAGCAGGCATCTCCAGGAGAGATGGGCGACGCACGAACACAGAGAGAGGCACAGCGCGCACCCCGCCCCGCTCGCAGGGCGTGCGTGCATCACACAGGGACTGTGTGAGTCCTCGGGTTTCTTGGGAATCTTGAGGTGTGCTAGTCGCATAGTCGGACGTTCTTTTGTGCGAGGGAGTAAGAAAGAAAGAAGACCGACGAACCCAAACGAGCAGGGTTCAGTTTTTTGCAAATTCTCTGTGTCGAGCCTATCTGCACACCGCGAGAGTTCTTTTGTGCACTTCTGCTTGCCTTGCTCGGTGTTGCAGCCGCGCAATGTCCCGCTCGCCGCCGCGGAGACTCGAGTCGCTCACGGCACCGCTCATGCCCGACGGCGCTTCCCTGTCGCTGCCGCTGCACAGCAGCAACCAGCAGCACCCGCACCAGCAGCACGCCACCATCGAGGTGCACCGACCGGCCGAGGACACGGCGTCGATCCGGTCGGGCGTGTCTCGGTCGGTGCTCTCTCGCTACTCCAAGGCGAGCCTCACCACCTTCCGGAGAGGCGAGCTGCGCGACGCCCTCTCGCGCCGGGTGCACATGGTGTCGCTCGTCGTCAACGTGCTGCTGTTTGGCTCCAAGCTGTGGGTGTACCTCTCGTCGGGCGCGATGGTCGTCCTCGCGGCGCTGGTCGACTCGACTGTCGACCTGCTCGCGCAGGCCATCCTGCTCGTCACCAACCGTCTGGCGACCGACCAGCAAGGCGCCACCAAGGTCCTCTACCCGGCCGGCCGCTCGCGCGCAGAGCCGGTCGGCGTCATCGCGTGCGCGCTGCTGATGGCGATGGCGAGCGCGCAGGTGATCCGCGACGCGCTGGTGTCGCTGTACGGCTACTGGCAGCACGGCGACGTGCGCCCGGTCGACATGACCTACTACGACCTCGGGCTGCTCGCGAGCACGATCGCGCTCAAGTTTGTGCTCTACCTCTGGTGCCGCTCAAAGTTTGCAGAGACCAACAACGTGACGGTGGAGGCGGTGGCGCAGGACCACCTGAACGACGTCCTCTCCAACCTGGGCGCCCTCGCCGCCGCGGTGCTCACGCAGCTCTCCCCCTCCCTCTGGCTCGCCGACCCCGTCGGCGCCGTCGCCATCTCTGTGTACATTATCCACTCGTGGCTCTGCACCGGCATGGAGCAACTCGAGTTCCTCGTCGGCCGCTCCGCCGACCCGGAGTTCCTCGACCAGGTGCGCGAGATGGCCGAGACGCACGACCCCGCCGCCAGCCTCGACCTCGTGCGCGCGTACCACTTTGGGCCGCGCTTCCTCGTCGAGATTGAGATCGTGATGCTGCCCGAGACGCCGCTGCGCGTGTCGCACGACGTGGGAATCATGCTCCAGCACAAGATCGAGCGGCTGGAGCAGGTGGACCGCTGCTTTGTGCACGTCGACTACCAGGTGCGCGAGATCGACGACCACGACCCGAACACCCCCCTCAGCTACAAGACCGTCGAGGCCGCCACCCTCCCGCCGCGCCCCTTCCTCGAGACCGCCTCGCCGCTGACGGCGCCGCCGGAGCACCCTTCCGGCACCAGCCTCCGCGCGCCGCCGCCCGTCAGCTGACCGCGGGGTGTGCGCCGGGGCCGCCTCGCTCCGGGTGGCGAGCCAGCGGTCGGGAGCACGGCCGCGTGCCGCAGACGGCACGCAAACGGGCGACTGCCGACGTCCCTCCTCCGGAGTGCGAGGCGGGCGGATCTGCCCTCCTCATATTCGAATCGTGCCGTATCGTGGGTGCGGTACTTTTGGAGTTCACGTATTGACAACAAAACACTCCAGGCAAGGCCAAGCGCCGGTGCCGCGTGTGTGCGGTGAGAGGCTGAGAGCGAGGTGGCCAGAGTGACGAGAGCGCAGCACCCAGCCCGTCTACACATATCATTGCCGAATCATGCGTTGCCGTTGGTAAGCAGACTCAACGGCTGCGAAAGCCTGCGCCGCCTGCACCTGATCCGTCTTGTCAGGATGAAGGCGCAACACGAGCTGCTTGTATCTCTTGCGAACCTCATCAGGCGGCGCGTGCGGGGCAAGAAACAAGCACTTCCACGGGCACTCCGCCTGCGCGAGCACATGTCTCACGAGCTCGTCAGTGGAGAGGTCGTCGACGGATTTGTATGCGTCGTCAAAGCTGCCATACGCGCTTGGCGCACCGGTCGCCACTTGCCGCGCAGCCTGCCGCAGCCGCGCCTCGCGCAAGAGAGCTTGCTGTCGGAGGCCGGCCTCCTTGAGCTGCGCCTGCTGCTGCTCCTTCAGGCGGGACTGCCACAACTCTGCCTCCTCTCGGGCTGCCCTCTTGGCAGCCTCCCGCTCCTGCGCTGCGGCTTCGGCTGCTCTGGCAGCGGCCGCTTGCACGCTCGCTTGCGAGGGCGCTTGCGAGGCCTTCGCCCGCGCCTTCTGCTGCTGCCATGCTGCGAGTTCCCTCCACCTGACGGCGAGCGCTGCCTCTGCCTCAAGCTCCGCGTCGCGTTCGCGGGCGCGTTTCTGCGCCACCTCCTCTGCTTTGGCTGCCTCCTTCTGTGCACGTTCCTCCTCTCGCGCTTTGTTCCGTGCTGCCTCCTTGTGGGCGCGCTCCTCCTCTCGCGCTTTGTTCCGTGCTGCCTCCTTGTGGGCGCGCTCCTCCTCTCGCGCTTTGTTCCGTGCTGCCTCCTTGTGGGCGCGCTCCTCCTCTCGCGCTTTGTTCCGCGCCGCCTCCTTGTGGGCGCGCTCCTCCTCGCGCGCTGCCTCCCGTTGTGCACGCTGCTCCTTGCGTGCTTCTTCCCGCGCCACGTTCGGGCCAGATCTCAGCTGCTGTGGACGTCGATAATTCGTGGACGCTGGGTTGAACTCGTGTGGATAAAGGAGAGCGTTCGCATCGAGCACCGATCCGCAGGAGCTACATATCGCCATCCCTTCCTCCTCGACAAGGTCCGAGGAGCCGCAGTCTGGGCACGCCATCTTGGTGTCGCACACAAAAGAGCAAAGAGTGCACGCGTCGCCGGCACGAATTTTATGGCCCGCCACTCGAACCCGCAAGCGGGCGTACGAGCCGCGAGCGGCTCGCACTCGAGAGAGACTCGTGACACGCACTCGTGACACGCAGGCGTCCGACAGACGGCGCCGGGGCTAGGCGACCGAAGAGGAACTACGGCAAAAACCGCACACCACCCGCTGACGAGCGCTCGCGGAACTGGTCCGCGGCGCCCGCCAGGGGCGTGCGCGAGACAGGGCTCGGAGCCCTTTTCTGTGAGCAGGGATTCCCTCCCGGCGGGGGTTGTGGCGGAGAGCCGGCATGGGAATCGCCGGCCCCCACCCAGGGGGTGCCCCTGCCAGGCGCCGCAAGCGGTGCCCGACAGGGGCGGGTGCCCCCACCCCGAGGGGTGGGGGCGGGGTCGGGGTCCAAAGTGATCCGGCCCATGCATCGCCTCGGCAAGGTCCTCGGTGCGATACATTCTCCACGGTGTCGTCGAGCGAAAGCGCGGTGGCCGCGGAGGTGATGACGTCGACATCGGTGGAATCGGCTGGGTCGACGTCAACGTCGATAGCTCTTTCACGCCGGATCCCCTTGTTGTCTCCGATGTGTCGCGCCTGCGCGCTCGGCGTGTATGAAATCCATATCATCCCCTGCTCCACGATTGGGGCTTTTGGCGGCGAGGGCGGGGCGCTAGGCGGCGGTTCGTTTTCGGGGGAGTCGGGTGGGTCATCGGCGTAGCTAGAGGCCCCATCACCGATGTCGTCGAGTGGGATGGTTGTTGCTCCTCCGTTGATAGGCATGTCGTCGCCCACGGTGCTGCTCTCCCCGTCGTCTGCGTCTGTTGGGACAGACTCGTCCTGCCACTCCGGCGCGCCGCAATCCCTCGCGCCGCTCCTGCCGAGGTCGGCTTGTTTATCGACGTAGTCGTTCCACTTATGACCACTGTGCCCCTTGACGTGTCTCCATGTCACTTCGTGCCACGGTTGTAAAATTCTCTATTCTCGGTGTACCTGTGTTAGTGCCAGTGCTCGCCAGTCCCGTGCCCAGTGTTGTGCGACGGAGTTCGGTTGTAAAATTCTCTATTCTCCCTCGCTGTGCCTTTTGTGGTGCTAGTTCGTGCCAGTCTGCTGTGAGAGGGGCTTGTCGTCGTAGAATTCTCCCTCGCCCCAACTGGCGTTGGCGAGAGACAGCGGAGCCACCCGACACACATGTATCAAAAGGCCCAGCGGGACGACGGCAGGCGCGCCCTCGAGCGGCAGGCCAGGAAGTGGGAGGCGGACAGCGAGGCTCTTTGGCAAGCGCTCTACGAGAGCCGTACGGAGAACGAGGAGCTTCGAACGGCGGTGGTCGCGCTGAGTGGTGAGGTCAAGCTGCTCGGCGAGCGCGTCGATGACAACGCGGCGGCGGCGTCGAGCCGGCAGAGCGCCCTGTCTGGCGAGGTTCAGGCCGTGGCGTGCGAGGTGGTCGCCCTGCGTTCGCGCGCGGCGGCGTGCGAGAGCGGTCTCGAGGCGGTGCGTGGTGAGCTGCAGCGAGATGGCACCGGGCGCGACCTCGCGATCGTGCGATCGGAGCAGAGCTGCCTCTCCAACGCGTCGGCGCGGCTGGAGAAGGGCGTCGCCGAGCACTCGAGGCTGCTCAGCGACGTGCGCGCGGAGCTCGCCGGTCTTGCGCAGAGGCATGCCGCGCTCAACGCCAGCGGCGCCTCGGAGCAGGCGGCGGCGCAGCAGGTGGCAAGCAGCCTGCGGTCGGCGGTGGACGAGCTCGCCCTCAAGCTCGACAGCCTCGCCGCGCGCGTCGCCGCCTTTGGCACCGGCGACGCCTTCCTGCGCGGCAACGAGAAGCTGAAGCGGGCGGCGAAGCGGCACGAGCTCATGCTGACGGCACTGAGCGAGGCGCACGAGGCGTCGCGAACGGAGCTGCGCTCGCTCATCCGGGAGCTGGCCGCGCAGCTGCTCCCCGTGCAGCAGGCGACGCAGGCCCACGGCGAGCAGCTCGACGACTGCTGCGCCGCAATCAACCTCTTTGCCGAAGCGATCCGGCCCTCGCACGGCGAGGCGGCGGCGGCGGCGGCGGCGGCGGCGGCGGCAGCTTCGGGGGGAGGGTACAGCGGGGGGGCGGCGAGAGGTGGTCGCAGCGACAGAGAGGCGCGCGGTGGATCCGCACGGCGTCGGTCCCGACCGTCGGCAAGCGGCGCCTACTCGCAGATGTTGCATGCATTTCGCAGCGAGGCCGCGGGCGGCGAGTAAATACAAAATACGACTTCGCACACACATGCACATGTACATGCACATGCAACAAAACGTCTCTGTCGTTCTCCCATCTCCGCCTCCCCCGTAAGCCGTATGTCTTCGTGAGAGAGTCACACGAGAGAGGGATCGACTTGACACTTGAAGAAGTCTCCCCGCCTGTGGCCTGTGCGCTGTGGAGTGTGGTCCGAGTCGGCGGACGGCGCGCGGGGTCCGCGGAGCGTGGTGCCAGCCTGGTGGGGCGCTCGGCTCCTGCTAGGCGCTCTGGTGCCTCTCTGGCCAGTATATGAGCTGCGGGAGCTCCGCTGGTTTTTACTACACAATGATACTAAATAAGAACACCAACATGCAGTCCACGCTCCCCCTCCCCACTTCATAGCCCGCCGGGGGAGGGGTCGCGCCAGGGGACGGCGGTGGCTCAGGCCTCAGGCTCAGCCCCTTGAGCGGAGAGAAAACAAACGCGACATGGCGGGCCAAAGACCCTTCGAGCGCTCCGAGAGCTCTTCACCTGATTTTGAGGTGGTTGTCTCTCATCTTGTTTACGGCCTCGTCGGGAGGGAGCAGCTTGAGGAAGGTGGTGCCACTCTTCGGATCGCCACGCCAGACCGCGTCCAAATCCACGGGGGTTGCTACTTTAGGCTCGCCGATGGCAACAGCGAAGTTAGCGTCCGTGCCACTCGCGATATCGTTCGCGTAGATGCCGAGGTAGTGCATCTGCGGGAGCACCCAGGGGCGAGGGCTCTCCTCCTCAGTCCACTTCTTGTCGTAGGCCTTGTGGATTAGTGTCATGTTCCGCCCACCCCGGTAGAGTGAGGCGACCAGACCCTCGTCCCAGCCGTAGTCCGGGTGAAAGTCACGCAGCTTCATCGACACGTCGTGGAAGAATACCCGCATGAATCCGTTGTTGGGCCCGCCGCGCTCCGCAAAGTCCGGCGTGGTCTTTGAGCTTAGCGTCTCCGATCCCTTCTTCCAGTGCTTCCTCTTTAGAGTGGCGAAGTCGAAGACGTAGCCATGCTTAGCCATGTAGGTGTCGACATCCATGTCGAAGCTCAGTGCCTGAGCGTACTTTTCCATCCTGTCGACCGTCGTCGGGTGGTCCAGGCTTCGGTTCCACAGGATGTCTCTCATCTTGGGCTGTTGTGACATAAAGTCGTCGATGACGCCGCGCCTTTCAATCTCTTGGATAGTCTCGCAGCCGACGCTGGCTCGCGGCAGCTCGTCCGACTGCCAGACCAGCGCAGGCGAACCCGCTGAGGCGACAGGTTTCTGCGACGGATCCGGATACGTGGGCGAGGGTGAGGCCGAGGGAGACGGCGACGGCTGCACAGGCGAAGGTGACCCCGATGGAGACCCGCTGGGGCAGAGTCCGGACGCTGGGCAAAGAGCGCCGTTCGGGCAGAATTGAGGAGGGTTTAGGTTTGGCTTGCACCGGACGCCCGTAGCCGCAACAAGCACTGCTGGGGATGAAGAGCTGTCGCGGGTGATGCCCGCTGCTAGTAGTAGCAGCGCCACGGTCAAAAGCAGCGACAGACCGAGCACCCGCAGCCTCGACTCGGCTTTGGTGCTGGAAGCAATCTCCGCCTCTCCTTCTGGGGCGGGCAGCAACCTCCGGCCCAGGCTACTCATTGCGGTGACAGCGCCGTCCTCGTCGTGCGTCCTCGTGGCCGAGAGATGCGAGAAAATTCTCGACTACCAAGAATTCTCAAGAGTCAGTTGTGTGTACTTCTTGCTTGGGCGGCCCTCATGATGAAATTCTGCAAAAACCTGGCCGGCCCCTGCCCTGCCCCTACCTACCTACCTACCTACCCTACTTAGAGAGAGAGATTTTAGAAAACCAACAAGAAATCACGACTCTCACAGTGATTTGGGCTCGGCAGCTTGTCAGCCCTCAGCCGAAGCTGGGGCCGGTCCCGTAGCCGAGAGAGCCCGCGCCGATGAGTTCGACGCGGTCGGGGGGGCCTGCGGAGAGGCCAGCGAGATGGCGATCGCTGTACTTCATGGTGTCATCAAGTGACTGGCTGACTCGCCAGAGGTCGATACTCTGGACGACCCATAGGATGCCACGAATGCCTGAAGGAGAGGGAGGCGAGGCCAGAGGCAGGCTCAGCTGCTCTCGGGTGATCTCGCTTTGGTGGCTGAAGGACCCGATGGTCCTGTCACATTCGCGTTCCGAGTCGTGGGGGTAGAAGAATTCGAGGTAGAATCGAGTCAGCACTTCCTTGTAGTACAGCGGACCGCCAGGCTCGCCGGCAGCATCCGCAGGGAGGCAGCATATGGAGGCACCAGTCTTCTGGAGAGCTCAACAGCTGCGGCCGCGATGGTAGAGTCGGCCGCGGTTCGAGCGAGCACAGCTTTTGGCTGCGGGATCGAATCGCGGAAGGCTCATGCCCTCGCGGAGCGACGCGGGTCACGCGGCGCGCGCGTGTGCGAAATGCGACAACAGACGACAGATGACAGACGCCTGAGCGCTGTACGACTGAACGACCGTCGCCGCAATCGCCACCGCCGCCATTTTGACGAGCAGCGCGAGCGCGCTCGTCGGCGGCCAGCCGTCGCGGGCCGGGCCGAGCCCGGCCTCGACCGGCCGCGCCGCCGCAGCACAGGCCGGGAGGCCCGAATGGCGGCCGACCAGCTGAAGAGCGGAGAGGAACTTCTCCCTACTGGGAAACTAAAAAAGAAATCAAACGACGCGAAGGTGAGGTACTATACCAACTAAGTGATGGTTGGTGGTACTCTCCTGCACCAGATCGCCCATGTTGACATCGTGATTTCCCCGTAAAATTTCTTTTTCTGCCGTGAAAATTCCAGCAGGAAGAGTGGGAAAAATCCGACGGGAGGGCGATACCTTCGAAACCTACATAAAAAGAAAAGTCCGGACCAGTGTGGCGGGAAGAGGGCCCCCTTCCTGGTCCTGCGGTTGCTGCTCCGCTGCTGCCCCGCGGGCACGTCGTCGAGGCACATATCTCTGGTGAGGCCCTACCATGGAGGAGGAGCTCGAGTGGCGCACGGACCATGCGCTCGTCGGCGCTCGCGTAGCTCGCTCTCACGAAGGCCAAGACGGCGAGCTCGCCAGCAGCATCGCGGTGGTCGTCGGCTGGTTATCCGCCAAAGAGTCAGACTTTGTCGACGGCGACGGCAAGGCCGCCCCGCTGTTCCGCGTGCGCTACGAGGCAGGCGACCTCGCGGGCGACGAGGAGGACTTGGAGGAGCACGAGGTGTTGGAGTCTGAATCGGAGGAGGACGACGATGACGAGGAGGGCGAGGAGGGCGGCGACGACGACGCCGAACGGCAGCGCCTTCTCGATGCGTACATCCAGAACGTGGCGGAGGAGGACGAGATCCTCGAGGGACTCGAGGACGAGCGCGTGGAGGCCCTGCGGCGCGAGGTGAAAGCGGAGCTCTGCGGGCGCGAGGCCGACGCTCACTATTCCGCCGACGCCGACATCGAGGAGGAGATGCGTGCGTGGCACGCCGCGCAGCACGCTGCGCTCGACGCGCGTGCGCGGCGCCGCGCGAAGCTCGGCGAGCGGCTCGTTCGCGCGGGTGTCGACGTGCACGCGGTGCACAAGGTGCTCGACCGCCGCGTGCGAGCGGCCGCGACGACTAGCGCGTGGAAGGCCGCTCCTCGGTTCCGCGACGACTCCGACGACGAGTCTGACGATGGGGAAGTCGACGGCGGCGACGGCGGCGACGAGTGCCCGCGCGCTGAGGATGACGCGGAGCTCAAAGCTCTCAAGGCGCGCCGCGCGACAGCGGATGAGAAGGTCGCGGCGCGGAAGGCGAAGCGCTCCGCGGAGAAGGCGCTCGAGGAGTCCAACCCGACGTCGATCGTGCGCGGCCAGCGCACTTGCGCAAACGCGGGCGCCAACGGTTTCGCGCCCGCGCACGGCGGGCGCGCATACGCGGCGACGACGCCTGCGGAGGCCGCCGCGCTCGCCGAGCAGCTCGGGGTAGACGGCGCACACGAGATCGACGAGATCGCCGACGTGGCCGCGGAGATGGACGCGGGCGACGCAAACGCGGCAGCGCTTGCAGCCGCACTTGCGGCGGAGGAGGCTCGCGGTCTCACCGACGCGCAAGCCGCGCGCGTGCGCGCGGTCCTCGCAGAGGACGACGACGCGCCGTGCCGCGCCGCACGCAAGCGCGCGCGCCGCCGCGAGGTCGCCGGGGATGGTGCGGCTGCGCCGCGGGAGAGTTGCGACCGCACGCACGACGACGACGACGATGACGACGACGACGACGATGAGCGTGTGCGTCCAACACCGCGCGTGCGGGCGCGGCCGTCGGCGGAGGCCGTCGCGGCCGCGCGCGCAGCCGCAGCCGCGCCGCTTGCGAGCGCGGGCGCTGTCGGCGCCGACGCGGCCTCCACGGCGGGCGGCACGGCGGGCGGCACTGTGTCCAACGTGATCGACGTGCAGTCGGAGAAGCCCCGAGCGTCGCCGGGCGAGGGCGCATCTGCAAAGAAGAAGGAGGGCGGAGCCAAGCCGGCAGGCGCTTCGGGCATCACCTCATACTTCAAGCGTGCCCCCCCGAGCGGGGCCAAGGCGCCGACGCCGAGGACGACTGTCAAGGGCGGCGCAGCCGACGACGCGGACGACGCGGGCGATGGCAACGCGGGGGACGCGGACGCGCGCGGCGCCGCGCGGCGCAAGATACGGCGCGTGCTGACGGACGCCGAACTCGGTGCGTCGGCGCTCTCCGCACAGCAGCTCGAGAAGCAGCGCCGCCGGCGCCTTGAGGCCGACGCCGAGGCCGCCTCGAAGGCCCGGGCCGAGGGCGACGGCGACGGCGGCGAGACGCTGCTCAACCCGCACGGCGCGGCCGCGGGCGACGCACCGTTGCGCATCGCAGCGCCGCTCGCTACCGCCCTCAAGCCGCATCAGCTCGAGGGGTGTCGTTTCCTCTTTGACAACATCGTCACGAGCCTCGGCGCGCTCGCGGCAGGCGACGGCGGGCTGGGCGCGGTGCTCGCGCATTCGATGGGGCTCGGCAAGTCGCTGCAGGTCGTCGCGCTGCTCCACACGCTCCTGCACGCGCCCGGTGGCGGAAGCTCCGCAGGCGGCGGTGGAGGCGCGGCCGGGCAGGTGCGCACGGCCGCGTCGGCGGGCGGTGCGTCAGCGCGCGCGGATGGGCGTTGGCGCGCGTTGCTCGTCGTGCCGGTGACGGTGCTCCCGAATTGGGAGACGGAGCTACGCAAATGGACGCCCGCGTGGGGCGATCGGCTGCGCGTCGCTTCGCTCGACGGGAAGCACGCGGCCTCGGCGAAGGACCGCGCGCAGCTCGTGCGTGCGTGGGCGCGCGGCGCGCACGACGTGCTGCTCGTGGGGTACGAGCAGCTTCGCGCGGCGGTCAAGTGGGCGGGCGGTGGCGGCGACGTCGCGGCCGCGGCCGCGGCTGCGGCCGGCGCGGCCGGCGGCCAGGCGGCGGGCTGCTGTGCGAAGGCGCAGCTATTGCGCGACCTGCTCAGCCCCGGGCCCGACCTTGTCGTGTGCGACGAGGCGCACGTGCTCAAGAACGCGAACGCGGGCGCGACGAAGGTGCTCAAAGCGATGGCGACGCGGCGGCGGATCGCGCTTACCGGCACGCCGATGCAGAACTCGCTCCTCGAGTACTACGCGATGGTCGACTTCGTGCGCCCCGACTTCCTCGGCACGCCCGCCGAGTTTGCAAACCAGTACGCGAACCCGATCGCGCAGGGGCGCGCGCGAGACGCGACCAAGGGCGACGTGCGCCTCGGGCGGCGGCGTGCGCACGTGCTGCACAAGAAGCTCGCCGGCTTCGTGCACCGGCGCGACGCGTCCCTGCTGCAGGCGTCGCTCCCGCCCAAGCGCGAGGCTGTGATCCACGTGCGCCTCGGCGACCTGCAGCGCAGGATGTACCGGAGGCTGCTGCAGTGGCTCCAGAGCGCACGCGACACCGACGCGAGCGGCGGCGCGGGCGGGCTCTTCAAGGTCTTTCAGATCGGCAGGCGCGTCTGGGCGCACCCGAGCGTGCTGCCCATCGCCGTCGCAGAGGCCGAGGCGGAGGCTGCGCGCAAGGCTGACGGCGCGCCTCGCAAGCGCGGCCGCCCGCCCAAGTCCAAGCCGATGAGCCGCGCATCGGCGCCTGCGGCACGCGCGCCCGCGGCGGCCTCCACCGCGGCGCCGCCGCCCGAGGTGATCTGCTTGAGCGACGAGGATGGAGACGCGGCGCTGGACGGCGCGGGCGAGGGCAGCGTGGAGAGCCCCGAGGAGGCCGGCGCCGCGGCCAACGTCGAGACGGGTGGCGTCGACAGCTCGGGCACGGCGACGCGACTCGCGACGGACGAGGTCGTCGATGAGTCGGCGCTCGTGCGCGACGGACAGGCCGACGACGCGGTCGCCCCGCTGCTGCGGATGGTCGAGGCCGAGCACGACGATGCGTCTGCGCTCGCGCTCTCGGGCAAGATGGTGCTAGCGCTCGGCATCGTCGAGCGCGCGGCCGCGCGCGGCGAACGTTCGCTCGTCTTCTCATCCTCGCTCGGCACGCTCGATTTCGTGGAGGGCTCGCTCCGCTCACGGCTCGGCTGGCGGCGCGACCGCGAGTACTTCGTCATCAAAGGCTCCTGCAACTTGCGCGCGCGTGCGCAGGCGATCGCGGCCTTCAACGGCGACCGGCAGGCGAGGGCAAAGTGCTTCCTGCTCTCCACCGGTGCGGGCGCTCTCGGCGTGAATTTGGTCGGCGCGAACCACGTCGTGCTGATGGACGTGTCGTTCAACCCGGCGGTGGACGCGCAGGTCTGCAGCCCTGAGGTTGCGGCAGCTCTCTTGCACCCCTTGAGTTTCGCCTTCTGCGCCGCCCACGCAGGCTGTGTGCCGCGCGTTCCGGTACGGGCAGACGCGTGCTGTGCACGTGTATCGACTCATCGCCGCGCAGACGATGGAGGCGAAGATCTACAAGCGGCAGGTGAGCAAGCTCGGGCTCGGGCGGACGGTCGTCGACGACGCCGCGACGGGGCGGCACTTCGATACCGCAGAGTTGGCCGACCTCCTCGACTTTGGCGACGACGGCGGCGGCGAGAGTGGCGCCGAGGATGATGGCGAGGGCGGCGCTGTCGGCGCTGGCGGCGGCGGCGGCGGCGGCGAGGAGCTCGACCCGAAGTCCATCCTCGCCGAGCTACTCGGCATGGGCACGGGCACGCCGCTCGACGCGACGCAGCCCGCCTTCTGGGTGCGAGAGCGCCACCTGCACGAGCCGCTCATGGAGGAGTGCGCGGAGGAGAAGCTCTCCCCTGCGGAGGCCGCGCTTGCGGAGTGGGAGGAGCAGACCGGCGCAGCCGCGGTGCGCCGCGTCGGCAAGTGGCAGCAGTACCGCACGAGCGCGGGTGGCGACGCGTGGGTCGACGTCGAGACACATACGCGCCACGACGCGATGCCCGAGGAGGTCGTGCGCGAGCTGCAGCAGCAGATGCAGCAGGCACAGCAGCAGGCACAGCAGCAGGCACAGCAGCAGGCACAGCAGCAGATGCAGCAGGCACAGCAGCAGGCACAGCAGCAGGCACAGCAGCAGGCACAGCAGCAGATGCAGCAGCAGATGCGTCAGCAGATGCAGCAGGCACCAGAGAAGATGCAGCAGCCGCCGATCAGAATCATGGTTCCTTCCAACTTCGTACAGGGGCAGAGCCTTAAGATCAGCACAACATCTGGGCTAATGACAATCCCTGTGCCCAGTGGCACTGTCCTCACCCCCGGCCTCTCGCTCAACGTCCAGCTTCCCCCGGGCGTCCACTTCCTGCCGCCGGCGCCGCCATGAACACCACAGGCACAGCACTACGGAGGGCGAGCAAGTTTTGCTTGTTTGTGGCAGACAGGCGAAGATGCAGTCATCCAGCAGAGCCTGGGTGGTGTGCGTACGGTTTTAGCTGTCTCTCCGCGCACCTGCGCATATCTGAATCTGTGACCCAGGCACCCAGCACCCTCGTGTGTGCGAATTAGTTGACGCGAGGAGATCGAACAGGAAGTACAAGAGGGGTCTCCCGCATACTCTTGTATTTTTCAGATTTCAGTTTTTTCACCTACTGTGCGCTATATGTATGTCTCAAAGGCAAGCGCATCTTAGCATGTGTCTCTCAAGAGATACATCCGCATTCCAGCTCATCACACATCAGGATTTCCCCGCTTTGATATGCATCATATCATAGTTTTCGCTGGCCACGACCGTCGGGTAGGACGGGTCGGCCCGGAGTATCAGAGTAGCCGTCGTGGTCGCGGCGAGCAGCGCCGGCCACTCCGGCGCCGCGTCGGCAACATGGGAGCATGTCCACCGCCACTTCGCGGTCGCAGCGCTGTTGTCGCCTTAGGGGACCCCTAGGGTTCTGAGGGCCGGATTTTTTAAGACCTTTTAAGAAACGAGGAGGTTTGGGGGCTTAACTTGCCATTTAAGAGATTGCAGGCACGGGGGGTCCCTCTTTTAAGACCGTTTAAGAAAATCGGCCTCACCGGCACGCGTCGCTGGGTTCCGCGCCGTTTTCTCCAATACTGCCGTTGTTAGGCACAAACCCGCCTCTGAAGACACATCTGTAAGTCTGGTGCACTGGCAGGAGCCATACTCGCATAGGGGACGCGTGCTAGCTGACTGTAGCCGGCTTCCCGGCCTCCGGCGTGTCTACCGGGAGCCTCCCGGACCATCGACCTCGGGAGCTCTCCCGCACCGTTTAAGCGTTTAAGACCGTTTAAGGAATCGGCGGCCCAGCAGCTCTTAAAACTTGCCATGGCAAGTTTTAAGCCGTTTAAGCCGCAGGCGCCCCAGGGCCCACCCTTTTAAGCCTAGGGGTCCCCTAAGGTTGTCGCCCAGAACGCCGCGATGTACCTCTTTTCGGGCAAAGCATCGAGCTGCATGTCGATTTCGACTTGACGGCAGCGCATGGAGGCATCACGTCTCCATGCGCCCGTCAAGTCGGAGCCAGTCTGCGGCGATCACAGCGCTCACCGCAGGGATCGGCGAGCTTTTCAGAGTCAAGCGATTGCGCGAAATCCCACAGTGGTGGATTTTGGTACGCACCGCACCCCCTACTTGAGCACTTGAGCACTGGATAGGGTCGATTCCGCATGGTACGGGACCCCTCGATCGTCTCGCCCTCCCTCCCTGGTGTGTTCATTGGGGGGGGGGGCATAGCAAACACGGTACAGGATCGAGGTGCACGCTGCAGAGGCAGTGTCATCCCCCCTCTCTCTCCCCGACGGCGATGGCGGTGTGACCGATCGAGCTACAAGAGGAACTTATTCAGCGGGATCCGAGTAGACCAGTGCACTAAAGCCGTACCTCACTGGGCCTGAGATCACCAGAACGCTTCTCGTCACGTCCCCCTACTTACAATATACAAAGGCAAGCGCATCCCTTAGCATGTCTCTCAAAAGAGATACATCTCCGCGATCCAGCTCATCAGGATTTCCCCGCTTGCATCATATCATAGTTTTCGCTGGCCACGACCTCGACGTAAGATTCTAAGAAATGAGATACAGTATTGGACTTTAGCGACGACTTCACACACAACTCTTTGGGGTAGGGACTAGGGTTGTCAAACGCGTTAACGTAACTTTGGGCCTAACAGTTGCACTATCGTGTTGGCTGAAATCCTCAACGACAACGTTGTTCAAGTGTTCTCCCCAGCCCAAGCTGTTACTGTTTGTTACTGTTTGTTACTGTTGTTACTGTTGTTCAGTGGTCAGCAAGCAGAAAATGCCAAAAAAGGATATAAAAACCCGGGTAAAACCCGAAAAAATACCTGGGTTTTCCCGGGGGTACGGCCTAGTACGGGGTATTTTCGGGTATTACCCGCACTGGAGACGCTGCTCGCTGCACGCGCTGGAGATCCAGATCGTCGTGGGACGTGGGTCACTGCCAGGCCTTCCTTATTGTTGTTCAGCCGGCCTAACGTTAGCTACTGTTGTTGGGGAGCCCCACTGTTGTTCTGTTGTTACTGTTATGTGTGTTAACACTTAGCAACACTGTGGAGACTGTTCAGCTCTTATCGTTTGACAACCCTACTTTGGGGCCTCGGGCTGCGCTCCTGGCCCTCCGCGCGGGCCCTCCCTCCGAGTCGTGTGCCTCTCTCGCCTAGATCGATCTAGCTCGTCTACGTGTCAATATGTACGGTGGGGCGGAAACGTCGCAAGACGCACCCCACCGTTCGGTTAGAATGGTCCGACCGAGGCGCCAGCCTGGCCGATCTGCGGCCTGCCGCGGCCCTTGCCCCCCACCGCGTTGCGCTTGCCCTCGCGCCTTTGCTGCTTCTCTCTCGAGCGCGCGTCGTCGTCGCAGAAGAAGACCTTTGGCGTGCCGGTCCGCGAGCCTCGCCCGCCGAGCTTGTACCCGTACGTCGCGAGCTGCTCTTGGTAGCCTGCCGCGCGCGGCCCGCCGTAGCCTTCTCCGGCGGCCAAGGCTTGCGGCGCAGGTTCGTGCTCCATCAGCACCTGCTCGCGCCGCCACAGGCGTGAGAAGGCGGTGGGGGAGGAGGCTGCGCGCGCCTCTCTGCGCGGTGCGCGGAGGAGGGCGCGCCGTCAACTTGGATCCCGCCAGCTCGATGCCGGTGAGGCTGACCGCCGCGACCGCCTCCTCACGCGTCTCGAAGGTGATGCTGGCCGCGGAGGGAGGAAGCATCTCGACCGTCCGCGGCGGCCGCGTCCCTGTGAAGAGCTCGAGCAGCTGGTCGTCCCTCGTATCGTGCGAGAGGTTAGTCACGCGGACGCGGCAGGAAGGCTGCACGCTATTTCGCGCCAAGGCGCGCGCCGCTTTGTCCTCCTCCTCCTCCTCCTCCTCGCCAAACGCATACGCCGAGAGATCCTTGTCGTCGTCGTCGTCATCTTCGTCCTCGTCGAGCAGCTCAGAGGACGACGGCACAGCAGCGGGGACCTCAACGGCCGGAGGCTCCGCCGCCCTTGGCGGGGGAGGGACGTCGTCGTCGTCGTCGAGCGCTCTCTGCCACGCCGGCTTCTCCTTTGGCTCGGCCTTGCGCTTTCGAGCGTTGAACATGAATGCCGCGCAGCCAGGCCAGCGCGTTGGTTAGCCCACACGCAAAAAAGAATTTTGTGGCCGGGTGGGTGGGTGGGCGGGTGGGTGCGGAAAAAAAGAACTTTCCGCCATCGTTCGTTGCGTACCGACTACCGTCACACACACTCGAACACACACACACACACACACACACACACACACACACACACACAGAGAGAGAGAGAGAGAGAGAGAGAGAGAGAGAGAGAGAGAGAGAGAGAGTACTCAGCGACACGTGACAGACATGCGGGGCGGCTACAACATGGACGGTATGCCGTCCTTAATCGGGAAGCGCTTCCCTGTCTCTGGGCAGACGAGCGTACCGTCGATCACCTCCACCTGCACGTGAGGAGGGCGTCCGCCATGAGACGGGCGATGGGACGGGTGGGGCGGCGACGGGATGGCCACGCGACGCGCCTCCATGAGCACGTGGTGCAGCGCGCGCAGAAACTCCTCGTTGCTCTCGTACGAGTCGGGCACCGCTGGCGGCAGCGTGCCGTCCATCCCCAGCCCCGCCAGCGTCTGCAGCAGCGCGCCGTACTCCACCTGCGTGACGGGCTCGGTGCCTGTAGCGATGGGGAATGCGGAGCGCGCGCGCCGTGCCACGTGGGGCACACCTTTTGCACCATCCGTGCGGTGAACTCGGAGCGGAACTCCGACTCGACCGTCTCCATCTTCTCCACCTCGATGGCGAGCGGGAACCCGTTCTTGGTGCCGGGCGCCATCAGCATGTTGTGCGTGAGCAGCTGCGGGGTGCGGCAAGGGGGCGGTCGGCGCGATGGGCGGGGAAGGCCGGGATCGTGCCGCTTGCCTTCATGTCGCTTTGCCACAAGAAATTGGTGAATTTTCGTCTCCCGCACCCCGAACGCGCGCGCAGCGGACAGGAATCCCTGAATGTCGTGTGGGTGTAGTTTAGCACCACATGCTCTACTAAGTAGCTCGTCCATCCAGCTAGTTAGTGTCATCCACCACCGGGCTGTGAAAATTCAGCTTGAAGAGAGCTGAGAGGGATAACCCCGACCCGCCCAGACCCCCAGAGGAGACCGCTACCGCTACCCTACCTACCCCGTCATGTGAGGTACGCCCAAGCACGGAGCGCTTTTAGCCGGCAGGATGGAAAGAACGGGCGGACTGGGGCCGTGGCGCGTCCATTGCGCATTGGATGCTGCTCTCTGTGGGTAGTGGCCGACTAACAAAAAAGAATTCAGGTCCCGACACGCGACGTAAAATTAAAAAGAACTCGATCGCACTCAGAACACAGAAGAGGGGGAACACAACACTCAACAGTCCCAAAAACTTTCCCAAACTCAACAAAGCCAATGCCACGCACGTACAAAAGACGAGATGCTGTATTCGGACCCCCTCCTCTCTCGCCGCGTACGTACTGCCTCGCTCGGACCGCTTTCACCTTGCTCCTTCAGGAGTACACAGCCGTACGCACCGCACATGCACGTGCGGATTCACGAGCGGCGCGCCGCCTCGCGCTCCGCGAGCACGCGGCCGGTGGCTTTGAGGCCGTACATGTGGACAGGCGGCGGGTTCAAGCCCGGGTGGAAGCCGTGGCGGTCGTGGGCGTCACGCGAGGGTTGGTACCCGGTGAGGGCGGTGTGGCCGTCCGTGGACCACGCGTCGTCGCTCGAGGCGTACCTGTTGACAGAGCGTGTGCTCAGGGGCCCCGAGGGCCCGACGCCTGCGCGCGGGGCGTGGCGGGCCGCACGGCGTCGGCGGGAGCGTGTACGGCAGCGGCACGAGGGTCGCGCTCTCCTCGCCCACCAGCGGCGCGGCCGAAGTGGCGACGAGGGACTGCCGCCCTGCCGGCTGCAGGGAGGGCAGAACGAGCACGCCGAGCTCGTAGGACTTGATGTAGAGCTGCGTGCCGCCCTTCTCGAGCTTGCCCCAGGCGGCCTGGGCGCGGGCGAGGCCGGCGGGGTCGGGAGGGGGCGGGGCGTGCGGAGTGGGTTGCTGGCACGGCTCGAGCCGCGCCTGCGAGAGGTTGCTCGAGGTCAGCATCGCCCAGCCGAGCCGCCCCTCGTCGGTGTACAGCGCGTAGCTCTTGATGTGGGGCACGGCGGCGGCGCGCCCGCTCGGGCCGCCGTCCCAGCCGCAGAGCCGCGCGAACGCAGAGGCGCCCGACAGCTGTTGCAGCACGCTCCGCAGCTTCGCGGCGTTGGCCGTTTGGCAGGGGATGGACGCGCCCGCGACCCACCCCTCGAGCGAGGCGCCGACCTGCGCCCGAGTCGGGTAGACGACGCGCAGGCGCGGCATCACGGCGGAGCCGCCGCAGAGCGACGCGACGAGCTCGCGCAGCCACCTGACAGCGCGGCGGTGTCTTGGAATGGAGTGAAAGTCAACGGGAGAGGCAACTGGACCACGCCCCGGATAGCCCGTTCTCGCGCGCGCGTGAAAATCCCGTGAGGTATGCAGCAAATGGCGACGTGCTCGTGCCAGTGGAGGGGACTCCTGGGCGGAACCTTTCGCTTCAAGCGAAAGGGGTCGGGTACAGCATCCACGCATGCTGGCTCCGGCCGCACACGAGCGCGCTATGCACTCGAGCACTAGCACAGACAAGCCCGGCCTCCGGCAGGCTCGTCGTGCATGCCAGTGTGCTGAACCATCTCTCCCCAGAAATCTCCCCAGATCTCCCCTCTCTCCCATTTTGCCGGGTTGGGCCCGCCGCAGGGGGCTCGCAGCGGTCGGCCGGCCCGTCGACACGGACACGCCGGAGGCGGCTGCGAAGGCGGTGGCCGCCGCGACAAGTGCTGAACTACGCTGTGTGGCGCGCACGTGTCGTTCTTTCCGACCGACGAGAGCGACGAGAACTGGAGCGCGAGGACGGAGTCGTCGAGGGGGACGGCGAGGCCCTCGGCGGCGAGCAGCCCCCTCACGCGCCTGTTTTGGAAGGTCCCGAGGGGTGTCCGGTCGGGGCGCCCAAGGCAGGCGGGCGGAGCGGCGGCCGTCTCGCGCGCATGTGGCCCCACTTTTGGATGTGCTCGCCAGTGTGCCTGCCGGCGGTTGCTCCGGACGTGCCGGGCACCGACGCCACCAGCCGCGCGCGCGCGCCGCTGTAGTCGTAGAGCGAAAGCCAGCTGCAGGGGAGGGGGAGGGGGGGGAAGGGGGGGGGGGGGGTAGGTGGGAAGGGGGAGGGGGCCGGGAGAGGAGGCAGCTGAAGAGGAGCGAGCCAGTTGAAGCGAGAGGGCGAGAAGGGCGAGGAGAGGGTCGGAGAGGGAGAGGGAGAGGGAGAGGGAGAGAGAGAGGGAGAGGGAGAGGGAGAGGGAGAGGGAGAGGAGACAACCACCTCACGTCGAGCGCCCGCCAGCGCGGCGGAGCGCCGTCTTGGTCCGAGCTCGACCAGCTGCCCGGCTTGTCGGCGCCGATCGCGCGCACTGCCTCGTAGTACTCGAGAAGGTCGAGGCCGAACGTCCCTGCCGCCGGACGTGGCGGCGGGGCGTCGAGCCGCGGGAAGCTGCCTGACCAGACCCCGTTCGTCTTGTTGTGCCAGTCCTGCAGGGTAGTCGCCAGAAGGGCTCAATACCAAGACACCTCGTCAGAACAACCCGAGGGCGGTGGTGATGGCGGCGGTGGCGGCGGCGGCGGCGGTGGCGGCGGCGTGGGAGATGGCGAGGGGGGAGGTGGCTAGGGGCTACCCGTGCGACCGAAAAGATGAAGTTGGCCGTGATCACGTGCACGGAGAGCCGCGAGGGGCGGACCACGACGATGCACTTTGAGTGCATCGTCCCAAACTGCTCTGTGGGCGGCTCAAAGCACTCCACTGCAGCGGGCATCGTGGTGGCCGCAACGCTGCGAGGCGGTCGGCCGTCGCCGTGGAAAACCTTGACGAGGCCGCCCGAAGCGACAAAGGAGCCGAGGGCCGGGCACGTCTCGAAGACGAAGTCGAGGTCGAAAAGAAAGTTGTGGAGGTGCAGCTGCGTCGCGCCCTCCAGCTCGCCAGCGGAGAGCAGCTCGTCCAGGCTCACTGAGTCGGTGTTCACACTGCTCGGCAGGACGCGGGACCACTGCTCGCCGAGCCGATTCAGGCGCCAGGCGAGGGGCGGGCCAGAGGCAGCCGGCGAGACGCCGCCGCCGCCGCCGCCGCCGCCGTCGGCGTCGGCGGTGGCGCTCGGCGCTGCCGGCGTCAGGCGTGGCCGCTTGCCCTCTTGAGCGCCGCCGTTTTCGCGCTTCACTGCACGGCTCCGGCCCGGGTTGTCGACCCTTTCTTGCCGCATCGGCACTCCGCTGGTGTCGACTCGAACTTGCCGCTCGGCATCGATCCTCACCACTCCGCCTCCCGTGGCCCAGGCCTGCTCGAGCGCAGAAGCCTGGTTGGGTGCGAATGCTGTCCAGGCGTCCCTGCCGGACTGCCACAGCCAGCGTGACGCGGGCTCCTGGTTGTTGTCGTGCGCCCACATCGTTTCAGGTTGAGGCTCAGCGATGAACCGCCCGCTTGCAATGGAACCAGGCGCGCGGGAAGAATTTAACCGCGCTCGGTTGTACGATGCACCCGAAGGGGACCCCAGCGCCAACACCATCTGTGGAGGTACAAGTGTCTGAAACGAGAGTGGACCTGAGCAACGACATGACTTGGCGGCAATTTTATTGGGGTGGGTGTCAGAAAGAAGAGTCGTCCTTGAGGCAAGTGCTCCAAGTGCGAGGAGAGCTTGATAAACTCGAACAAAACACGAGACGTTCGGCGGCGGCTTCTCGCCCACCGCCGTTCTCAAGCTGCGCCGCCTCGCGCGCAAAGTCGCGCGCGGCAGCGTTGACCGCACGGCCTACTCGCCCAAGTACTCGCTCTCTTTTATGTCCCACCATGCAGAGCGCATCTCTCTCTCTCTGTTGTGCGAGGCGTGAACCGCGCCATTCGCTCTCACCTGGCAACCCTGTCTGCACGTCTCGCGCGCGCGTGAACAGGGCTCCAGGCCCCAAATTACGTGTGAGTGTTAGAGTTGTTTGGTATTGCTAAAAATCTCTCTCTAAACTCGAGGGGCCAAAATACGCCGCGAGGAGGGCGGAGTTGCGCCGAGAAGAAGCCGCGAGAGCAAGGGATCGGCGGGCAGCGGCGGCGCAGCAGGACGAGGATCGAGGTAGAGGAGAGCGACGCGACCGACTAAGGATGAAGCGACAGGCAGGAAGGAGGGAGAACGACGAGAGTGGGGCGACCGCGAGGTGGCATGAAGGTTGCAGCGAGAATCGGCGAGGGACTGCGAAGGGAGATAGAAAGAGGCAGACGGGCCAGACGCCCAAGGGTTAGGGTGGGCGGCGGCTAGCACCACACTCCTCTCCTTAAAATCCCTGTGTGGTGGCGGCGTGCCGTCCTCCCATCCCTCCCTTGGGTTGTCTGTTTTCTTTGTTTCTTTCTTTCTTTCTTTCTGTCCCACAATTTTGGGGTCTGTTTTCCTTGTTTCCCTTCCTTTCCTTGGGTTGTACTTGGTTGTCTGTTGTCTTTCTTTCTTTCTCTCTTCGAGGGAGTTTCGTTGTAAAATTCTCTCTTCACAGCAGCGCATGCTCGACACACAGGTGTGGACAGGCGCGTGCTAGCACTAACTAGCACAGGCAAGCGGAAGAAAGAATTTTCCGACGCCACGACAACACTAGGCACGGGAGTCGGGACTGGCGCGCACTGGCACTACACACAGGCAGGTAGGCCTACCGTGCACGAACGATCGACACGGGCGTGTGGACTGGCGCAATTACCGGGGCCCGAGAGGGACTCTGTGTTTTCTTGCGTGCTTTCATATTTCAGACACCTCTG